AGATTAGTGTATCATGTATAAAATGTACATCAGATTAGTGTATCATGTTTAAAATGTAATGTATCTTACATAACGATTAATGTATCTCGCGCATTAGATTAATGTATTAGCGCTTATTTTATTGTATCCGTTTGAGGGATTTCTGTAATTATAAACTTTTAAGGGATAGATTGTAATTTTGCCTTAAAAGTATGTGATTTCTGTAATTTGCCCTTTAGATAATGACCACATAATCTATATTGGGGAGAGAGGTAGTCAGCTAGAAAATACTGTCATCAAAATCCTACACTTGGTTTATGTTAAAATCAACAAACAGCAAGTCTCATAGTCATTTTGGGAAGCAAATAGAAAATTACAGAGGTAATTCCTCAAAATGTTGAAAAGCAAAGTGATTAGGCAGAAACAAAACATAAAGCTACAGTCTCATCTATAATATTCTCACTAATTAATGGGATGGGGTATTATTATTACAGACAATCCAAAGAGGCGCATCGGAGTTCAAATAAAAAATTCTAGGGAATCTCGTTCACTGTACAAAAGCAACGTTAGAGATCTGTTACTATCTTCATTCCTATGGTATGGTAGTGGATATATGGGGCAACTCGTATCTTACCAGAACACAGAACAAAAGCAACTATCTAAATATATCGAATTTTATATACACACACCACATGACCTGCAAAAGCACAACTCCTTTCTGTTTCAAAAGCCATTATGTCATCAATACACAAATTTCTCTACCTTTCACCAAATATCTCAAAAATTTAGTAACGTACAAATCTCTCCACTGTTGAGTACAAAGATGAACACAAGCATAGGCAAATGAAAATAAATAAAATATTCAAGAAGATGACATCGCATCGATAAACCCAACTAAACTGAGGAACAAGTATACTCCTAATGGATGCTTTGAATCGGACGGCATGAGAGAACCATTTTTAAAATCTAGGCACTGAGATTTTTAGCTAAACCGAAGCATTTCGACAAGGATCTTAAGGCACAACATCATAAATTAAAATGAACAGAGAACTATACACGAGACAAACCAGCAACATCACATATATGCTCGATATTTCATTGGACGGAAACAGACCATTTAACATGATAACTCCCCTCTAATAACTTGTCTATCACATAATCAGTAATGAAACGGAGAGAATGAAGGCAGTCAAGAAAGAGAGAAAAACTAGCATGTCAACAACCACAACTTGTCAAAACGACACATCCACTAAAGAGTTGGAATTGAAACGGAGTTTACCTTCTTAAATGCATCGATATGGGGCAAGACGAGCAGGAGAGCAACCTTCCACCACAAGAAAGCTCAAATACAAACAATGAGTAAGTGATTCGGGCAGAATCTCAAACTCACAAAAGTTGGTCAACGATAACAAAACGAGAGAGAAGAGTGACCCTCCGACCGACACTAGTTGTCTTTTATCTTTTATCAGACGTGTTTCGTATGTTCTATCACTATACTTTGAGTTGTTCTCTAGGTATTCCTCTTTCTGTTTTTCTTCCGAGCTTTTCCCAATATTTTTTCTTCAACACAAAATTTTCCAACTCCAAAAACTTCCCTCCTCATCAATGAGTAAGAAGAGAATATATATAGGGGATTATAGGGTTCCTGGATGGAGGGAAAACGGACAGAAAACGATAAGAAGGGGGCCAATTCGAAATTCAAAACTCCCCAAACACTTTCACGATTCGGGTGAGGCACCTTTTTTACTTGTGATTTCAACCCATTTCGGAAGAGGAAAAAGGAGAAATCGCGTACTTGATGCCTGCTGTTGCGATATTAATGCGGACATGGACGAAAGGGAGACGACAAAATTGCAGCGTCCTCTCTCTGTTCCTCGCTACTGTATGTTAGCGTTTTGGACTGTTTCTGGGTCTTGTACATTGTGATGTTCACGCTGGAATAAAGGGCTTGGGTCGGATCAGGGGAATGGGCTGGGAATTGAGAGAGTTGGGTTGTTGGTCGGTTGGGTATTGGTGTTGGCTGTTGTACGTTGTTGTTGTTGTTATTAATTTTGTTGGGTTTGGGGAATTAAAAGGGTGGGGGGCTGCAATTGCAAATAGAAAGCCTCAAAATGGGTCTTGCCAAAAAAATGGCCATTGGACAGCAAATCTAGCCCATTAAGTTATACAACTCAAACAAATTTGAGGAATTGACACAGACATACAACTATTATATATAATTGGCAATATATAGCCTAATATTAATTAGCAATTAATAGCCTCAAACAAAATTAGCACGTATTAGCCTAAAAGAAATAAAACTAACTTTTTATAGTTTTATTCTTTTTATCAACTGCAACCAACCCGCATTAATTAAGGAGATTTGAGATTATTTTTTCTTCCTTGTTTTTAACTCCTATAATTAAGGAAGTTAGCTTTTCAGTTTCTTTAAATTTTTAAACTCAACTTTATTTAACCGTCTATTTAAAAAAAATAGTAACGCAGAAACATAAAGATATATTTTATTGTAATTTTATGAATTTTTTTTTTTACCAAACAACAATAATTAGTTTATTAGAAAATCATTGCCTACTTTTAAGAAGTGATATATATATATATATATTAATTAACCCATTAAAAAAAAGGTTACACCAACTTTTAAGGAATGAATTTTTTTAAATTCTTTAAATAACTTATTAAAAGATTGTGACTACTTTTAAGGTAAGAAAATGTATTATTAATGCTCTAACATGTATTAATTATCACATAATCGACAATAATTAATCAAATAATATTAAATGGCATTTTATTAGTAACTGTAATAATACATATGCATAAATTATACAATAATTAAAGTTGCAATTACATAATGTATACATTAAAAAAAATATGTATACACAAAAAAATATTCATAAAAATAGACGTGTAGATTTTATTGATGTATACAGTAATTGTAGCATGTGTACATAAACTTTATATTGGATACATAAGAATATTACCATCAATTATACGTATTACTATAATGAATACAAGAATGAGATTAATATGATACATATATAAATTTTATTCATTAATTGTACATGTGATTTTGTTTATGTATACGGTAACTGCACTATGTATACATTAGTTCATATTCATCGTGTATTCAGTGATTTGTATTCACATAATAAACTTGTATACTTTCATTTAAAATGAGATTGGAATTCATTGGTATACATTGGGTTGTATTCATCAAAATCAACATTCTGATTTTTTACGAAGATCTTTCTTACCCATGAAATTGAGAACAAAAATTTCAAAAAACTATTACCTGAATTTTCGCCAAAAAAGTTTTAAAAACTTTAGTTCCACAAATCACGAATTTTCAAAATTAATGGGGCAAGAAATGCTACATAATTATATATTAAAAGAAATTATTGGAAGGATCAATCAATAAACATACAGTTATAACTGATTTGCATAGACAGAGTAAATTAAGGAGAATAAGAGAAAATTTAGAAGAGAAGCAAATATACATATGAAAGGGATTTTAGAAAGAAAACAAAAGAAGGTTGAATAACCTAAATTTTCGCAAAAAACAAAATTGAAAGAACTTCAATTCTACAAATGATGAAATTCAACAATTAATTTGACAAAAACAAGATTATATATAAATATGATTTTTATAAATATCCATGAAAAAACATATTGTTATATCTGATTTTCATAAACAGATTGAATTAAGGAGAAGAATTGAAATTAGGGAGAGAATTACGTATGAAAAGAATTCTGGAAAGAGAAAAAGGAGACAAAAAAGAGAAGAATTTTATCTATTTTAAAAGTGTTGACAAAATAAATTAAAAAAGAGATAAAATAGGGATAATAAAACAATATTTTTTTAGAACGTGTGTTTGAGAAAAATAAGGAGAACAAAAATATATTTAAAAAAAAGAAAAATAACTATTCAATGCCAAATAAATAAAACAAAGTCTTTTTCTTGCTAAAAAATTAAAAGTGGCTATTTCTTGCTAATTTAGTCTATAGGGTGTTATGTTGTGCCACTTAGGTAATCAATGAATTCGGCTAGAGCTTAAACGAAATGAATAAATATAGCTAATTAACGAGCTTCTTAATTTTTACGAAATAAAATAATTTGCCTAATGAACTAACGACTCAAAAATATAAACTACTAATTTGGACAAAATTAATTTAATAAAGTATTTAAGTAAAACTAAAATCTTTTTGAGACCATTTTCGAATGTTTATAAAAAATGTACCAATTATATATGTAACATATATATTATTAAAAATTATAAATAAGTGATATACTATTTAAAATGACTTGAAAATATTTTTAGTTTGTTTTTTTTTTTAATTTTCTAAAGCTAATTATTTGAAATCGTTTAAAATTAAAGAAGCTCGATGATTAATCTATATTGTGGAGGTTCGAAATTGGGTGTCAACAGGCATGATAAAAGGGAGAAAATGGTGGAGTTGGAAGATTGAAAGTTATGTATCTGGAAATGAGAGAATTTGAGAAAAAAGAAGGATTTTTGTAATTTTTTAAAATGGTAGGGAATAATAGAAAATAGGGTAAGAAAAAATGTATAGTTAGATAATTTTTCCAAAAAAAATTTGGGGGTTGGGGGTACAGCCGTACAGGGTAAAAAATAATAATATAGGGTGGGGTGGGGTGGGATGGTAGGGGTTGAGGTATTAACAATTTTGTTTTGATTTAATATTTTTTGGTTTTAGGAGATTAAAGTGGGTAACAATCATTTTACCCAAACCATATTTAACCAAAAGTTATATTTACTCACAATTTTATATTCTATCCATTCATAGAGATAAAATGATAAATTTATTAAGTAAATTATTATTTTCTTAATAGGTATGTCCAGTTAAAATTGGACATGTAAATAGGGACGTGTAATTGCAGCACGACAACATATTTGGGACATACTTGTCTAAAGTTGAAAAGTGTCAAGTTAAATTCAAACATAAATATCTTTAGGTTTTCTTGGCAAGTCAAACATGAATTGCCTATATATGAAATTAATAACTTAAACTTGACAATTCAATTGAGGTAACATGTCATCAATTAGCCATCTTGCCAACCATTTATATGCTTCTTGTGTCAAATGAATTCCATCCCAACTAATATGAGTACTCGGATCAACACACACTGGGACTCCTGGTGCACCACATGTTCTACTTGTGTTATAATTATATTTTCCACTTGTTCCACAACAAGCTTTCTGTAGCGAGTTTTTGTCAAATCCTGAAAATACATTTCAATCAAGAACAGTAAATGAATTAGTTAATTTATGAAACTTTACAATTTACCGGACAAGTAAAGTGGAAAAAAAAAAACTTATGATTAAAAATAGGTAGAAAGAATTATATTTACCAAGAGAGACTGCATTTCGTAGAAGCCACAAATAGGCATTGTAGTAATCACCATAAATCAGTATAATGTTTGGATACTTTTTCTTCATCTCGTGAATGGCTTGTTGCAGATGATGATTGAAGTATCTTACAAGGCTATTTAAATCTTTTACGCAATGATACTCATCGTAGGCCGTTATTTTGTTGGTCTGGAATTTTGTTAACATAGCCGTGACACAACCAATTGGGAAATTGCCTGGAATAATAATTCGAGTAGCCCCAAAATCGATAACCCTCTGAAAATAACAAATTCATGATTATGATGAAACAAAATTTAGATAACAGAGTTATTATCTAAAGTCAAGATCAAAACCTCACTTTAACACCATGAATGATAGTTTGAACAACTTCTGGCACCATTTTTCGAGCCTCTTTGATGGATTTACCTTGGCTTATGCCATAATTGAAGTCATTTCCTCCTATTTCTCCAACTAGGAAAAGTGATTTCTTCAATTTTTCTTCTGAGAAAGCATATCGATTCATCAACGCGATGACTAAATTAATCGAATGTAGTTAATGAATTCCTTACCAGGAGAGCTAATGGATTTGAAATGAGAAGACATCCAATGAAGCTGCACACTTAATGAACTATTTGTGAAAGACATAGCAATGTTCTTCTCTGCAAGTGATTCAACTGATAAAGCAGTAGCCCCTGCTACTGCAAAATTCACACCATGACTAAAATCTGCATTTCGATCCTTGAACGGATTTAGAAAAGGAAGACCAGCTTCCCGAGCTATAAAAAAAAAACATACATACATACATACATTATATTCAATACAGATAATTTATTTATAAGGTAATTACAGATCGATATATACCTATGAAATCAATCATCAACATTCCATCAGAACATCGTCCTGTCACGTTATGGAAAAAATTAATTCCATAAGGAAATCTTCTACATGAAGAATGAGTTCCACAAAGGCTCTCTCTCAGACAATTGCCGGTATCAGAAATTGAGTTGCCTAATTGATATATTTTATCAAATCTGCAATTCATCAATAATCCTTCAGTTTTTTTATGCTTTTGTGCATCTCCTTTCTGTTGAAGAACCACAAAACTCATGATTATCAAAAGAATCAGTACTCTAATTGTCAATGCCATGACTCTATCCAATTATGAAAATGAAACTTGAACTTTATTTATAAGTACAGTAAACAGTAAACGTAATCTACACTATATATACAATGATATCTTGATTGATTAAATATTACAATAATAATAATAATGATGATGATTTTGTTTATCTAAAATGACAGCTTGCCAGATTTGCTTGACTATCACGTTGACATACATATTTTTTTAAAAACGGAGAATACATTGATGCGTTTTATTTTTATTCTATTTTTGTTAGGCCGATTTGGAAAAAAAAAAAAGAGAAAAAAACTTTGCCTAGAACTTTATCATTTAATTAAATAAAATTAGTTTTGTTGAAAATACTAATGAAGTACCAATTGTGTATTTCTTCTTTAAATGAAATAGTTATTTATTTTAATACTGGAGTTGCAATTATGTAATATTTTAATTATATGCAATGACTATTAGAAAACATTAAGCAGATGGGAAGTGGGGTTGGATTGGGCTCGAGGGTGAGGAGGAGATAATGAGCTTGCAGTTAACTTATGAAACTTGGTTTTGAAGCTTTATGTAGTTGTTGAAGAACTAATCATTGAAAGAACTATAAATGAGAATGAGATCTAGCAGTACTCTCAGGGTGAGAGATAAAAATAAATAGTGATGGGATAAGAAAATAGTATTCCAAAATAGCTAATCCGAAGATAACTAATTTTGAGATAGCTTGTTCCCAACCAAATGACCCTATCGTTAACGCCATGGCCAGATTTTGGGAATGAAAATCCGTGCAGCTTTCTTTATAAATACTACTTCGAATTAATGTGATGTTATTATTTGACTTGGCAAAGAGAAGAGTTTAAGAAATGTGAGATATTTGTGTAACTATAAATTATAATCATTTTATTATCGATAATTTTAAAATTAAACTGTTACTTATTAAATATAAAAATAGATCATTCTTTTTTAAATAATTAAAAAGAAAAGTATGTTATGATGTAAATAGAGTAAAAAAAGTGTATATATATATATATATATATGTGTGTGTGTGTGTATAATTCTGTGTATTTAAATGCTAGATTTCCTTGATTATTATTTTTATCACGCTAACCTTCATTTTGTATTTTAAAAATACTATTTGCCTGGTACACGTCTTTATAAGTCAAAACATTTTTTGTTTAAACATGATAAATTACACGTTTAAACATGTTGAAAGCCACCACGTGAAGACTAATGTTGCACACTCCATCCTGTTTACGTACGTTATCTTTTTAGAAACATTAATTTCCATGTGATCATCTGCTCCCTCCGTTTCATTTTATTTGACTTTGTATTTTTTAAAAAATCATTTTATTTGTCTATTTTAGCAAATTAATTGAATTTTATTACTGTTTCTTCATACCATCATTAATAGTATTAAACAATTATATTAAAGATTACTCTCTCCTCCATTCATTTTTTATTTGCCACTTATATTTAGATTCATGAGAGTCAGGTTCAGTGTTTTAAAAAACTTTGTTGGGACTCGCCTCGGGGCTCGTCCTAGGGCGGGGCTCTAGCAAAACGCTCCGAGACTCAAGTGTGGGGCTTAGTTCTGTAAGACTTACGCCCCAAGCGCCCGACTATATGCTTTAAGCACGTCCAATGCCCAACCCTCGAGGCTCGCCTAACAGATCTTACACAAATTATGTGTTAAAATCTTTAGTTAACATTGTTGACCCTCATAATTCATGAATAATTGAATGATACTTAATAATTTTTAATCTTAGAGATAAGAGGATTGAGAATAACTCAAATAACAAGTTTTAGTATCTCATCTTTCCTATTTGGTAACACTGTGAAAGTAATTATATACTCCCTCCATCCCTATTTAGTTGTCCATATTTCCTCTTTTAGTTGTCCCTATTTAGTTGTCCATTTTGACAAATCAAGAAAGGACAACAATTTTTTTTCTATTATACCCTTATTTAAATAAAGTTGTCATAAATAAAGTAAATAAACTTATGAACTTCCTAGCATTGATTAGTTATCTTGAGTGAATTTATTTTGGAATTGTAAATTGTATTATAAGGGTAAAATTGTAACTTCACTAAACTAATTATTGTTACCTTAATCTGTGTGTCATTTCTAAAGTGGACAACTAAATAGGGACGGAGGGAGTATTATGTAACATTTCTTTTAAAAATACGTCGCAAAATTTGCTTTTTCACTTATCATTGGTCTTCATGGTTTTGTCATGTCTCAAAATTATTATATTTTATTTAGCTATTTGAAAGTAATTTTATTTTTAATAACATGATGTAGTGATGTTTTTATTGTAATACCAGTAAGGTTATTAATTATTTTCTTTTAGGGGGGAAAATTGTATAGTATGATAAAAAAAAATACTTTTGAGAAATAATGATTCTTTTATTATTATAAAGTTAAGGTATTAGATTATTTATCCTTGTATAATCATGTTAGAACTTTTATTTTCTATTAGTTTATTTAATCATATTTGTATTTATTTCAAACTATTGATTTATTTTTATAATTTTGTGTTATTATATATTATACTATATTATAAATTAAAAATTTAAAGATTCATAGTGCTTACGCCCCACGTCTCGAAACTTACGCCTCGCCCTATACTAAGTAAAACGCCTCGCTTCACGCTCCCGCCTTTTAAAACACTGGTCAGATTTGACTAATTTTTGAAGCTGAATTGAATTAAATTAATTCACTATTTTAAAATTTTGATATTAAAAAACTATACGAAAAATAATACAAGTTATAACTTTTATTCATATTAATATGATAGAGAAAAATATATACTAAAATTAAAATGTTAGTCAAAGTCTATACAATTTGACTCTCACAAAGTGAAACGTAACAAATGAAGTTGAACGGAGGCAGTAGTAGAAGTCACCTTTTGACTTCTAAAGTGTCATTAATAAAGTTTTTAGTTTAATAAAATGCACCTCTAATAAAAGTTTTCTTAAAAATGGTATCAATTCAACCCGAGTAGAGTAAAATAAAACAAAGTGTACATTCTTTTCCAAGAAAAATGAAGAGTCATTGGTCGCTCCATACATTGAACTTTGCAAAGTAGAAAAAAATAATCCTAAAGTGGGCAGTTTAGTTTAGGTAACATGTCATCGATTAGCCATATTGCCAACAATTTATATGCTGCTTGTGTCAAATGAACTCCATTCCAATTTATGTAAGTAGCAGGGTTACCACATATTGGAACTCCTGGAGCTCCACATATTCTACTTTTATCATAATTATATGATCCTCCTATTCCGCAACATGCTTTCCATAGACAGTATTTGTCAAATCCTGCACATTTCAATCGTGACATGTGATTTTTCGATATATATATATAAATTGTTGAATCCCTTTTACAGAAGGAAAGTATATAACGCATGTTCAAATATATATCATGCATCACATTCTTAACATTTTTTTAAAAATTTCTTTACTAGAATTTCTGGCTCCGCTAATAATGAAGTATGGTTATAATCATAAAATATAAAGAATTACATTTTGAGTACTTACCAAGACTTGTGGCATTTTGCAGAAGCCATACATAACCATTGTAGTAGTCACCATAAATGAGTGTAATGATTGGATACTCTTTCTCCAGTTCTTGAATGGCTTTTTGCAAATGATGATTGTAGAATAATGCCAAGTTATTTAAATCTTTCAAGCAATGGTATTCATCGTATGCAGTTGAATTATTGGTAAAAAATATTGTCAGCAAATTCGGTATACAACCAATTGGAAAATTTCCAGGAATAACAATTCGGACAGCCCCAAAACCAATGACTGTCTGAAAGAAGAAATAACAAATTAATTAGCAAGCCGAAAAAAGGACGATTGATCACAAAAAGTACTAAAATTTATGTAAAACACGTATATCATGCATTTATTGATCTAATTATACAAATATTGATGAGTGGACATAATTTTTAATGTTCGTGAATATAAACACCTTTAGTAAGTTTCGCGTATTAAAAGCATAGGAAATGGAGAAGGAAAAAAAAACATACTTTAACAGCATTGATAATGATCTGAACAACTTCAGGAACCATAGCTCTCAACTCCTCCAACGTTTTACCTTGCAATAAACCATAATTAAACTCATTTCCTCCTATTTCTCCAACCAGGAAAAGTGCATTCTTTAGGTATTTCGAGCAATCTAGCATATAAAAGGAACAAGGAAAGTAAATTAGAAAAAAAAAAAAAACTTTATATAGTAATTAATTATAATTCCTTTTAAATGTAATTACCAGTAGAGCAAGTGGATTTGAAATGAGTAAACATCCAATCAAGTTGCACATTTAATGAACTAATGGTAATCAGTGAATTAGAATTTATCTTCTTATCTATCAGGATTTCTGCTGGTAAAGCAGTAGCTCCAGCTACTGCAAAATTTGCTCCATGTGTAAAATTTCCATTTTGATCCTTGTAGGGATTTAGCAGAGGAAGACCACATCCCAGTGCTGTATAACAACATATCATTAAAAAAAGCATTTTAAATGATATAACGGGTAAAGTTCAATGACTTTAACGATACAAAATGTAGTTTTGTGACTTTACTGATACAGATGAATGAGCAAACCATCAGAAAAGTTTGGAAAATCATAGAGAATGTTGAAGTTGTGTACCTATGAAATCGATCATGAGCAAACCATCAGAACATCGTCCAGTTGATTTATTCTGAGGAAAGTGTTGACCATAAGGAAGTTTTGCAAATGGGGAGAAAGCTCCAAGGAAGCTCTCTCTGATGAAGTTTCCAGTATCAGAAAGTGAGTCACCCAACTGATATATTTTGTCAAATTTGCATTTCATCAATGAAGGAACTTCAAGCATTACCTGAGCATCACTCTTCAGAAGAACCAAGAAACTGATGATGGAAAGAACTTGTAAGAGATCAAGCATCTTAATGGTCAATAACATAATCAATTAGTAAAGAATTATGTGCCTAATTATACCTGCTACATTATATTTATGTTATGTTGAGTGAGATGAGCATACTGCTAAATTCT